GTAGTCACTCCCTTGGAACTCGAAGAAGACGCCGGCGGCTACCTTACCGCTGGTGTGAGCCGTGCCGAAGCCGACCAGCACGTTGAGAAGTACATCCGCGAGGAGGCTCGTCGAAGGGGAGAGTACTCTCCTGGCCGTGCAACCTCCGTTGGTGGCCATTGACTATCTCGCCACCAGCAAAAGCAAACACACCACCACTCAAGCACTGGCACTCGGACACGGCACCGAAACAACTAGCCGCTCTACGCCTTTCTATTTGTCGAGCAATTTCGGAGTTATATCACCTACGGCACGGAGCATCAACGGCGTTCATCATCCTCATCACCATTACAAACAAACAAAAAACCCAGCACACGAATCGTACACAAACAATAGACGGAGAACGGATGGAACGGCTCGTTCTAGCAAACACGGACTCGCAACATTCTTCTTCTTCTTCAACCACACACTCCAAGTGCTGGAGCGTGGCAACCCGATCGCTTTTTCTCAAATACCCAACTATGCGTTTCTCACCCTCGGAGTATACAAACGTACCGCATGCATGCATCTCGCCTGTCCATAGCTTCGCTGTAAGCGCTCCACCAGTTGGTGTCGAGCTGGGCAGATGACGGGTCTTCTTTTGTTTCCTCATGTAGCTAGCAATGACAATTCAACTCTATCCCATTCATCATATCATTTTTTTCGCCTCCGTGATGCATGCCAACAATGCCTCGATCTACAATCTCACAAATCTCACCCAACAAACACTGCCACCTCCACCCTCCCTCCCTCTCCGCCATATCCAGATAGGTAGAACCCGAGCATGCCGACCTACCCGACTCATGCCCTCCCTTCCCCATTCTTTCGCCCCCATTAAAAAATCACGCCCCTCCACTTGCCCACCCCGTATCCTTTTACCCAGCATGCCAGCGCGCGCCGGCCACATTCGCCTCTCTGAAACACGCGATCAGCTGCTAGCCGCCGAAACCAGCGGACATGTGTACAGACGTGTACTGAGTCGCTGTTACCACCGCTAACGTGATTCCCTGCACTTTCCTAATGTAATCAACCACGGCAATGAGAATGCAGAATATTCCCCACATCACTCCATAGTTACTAAGGTTGCAAGCCAACGCATCGTAGCGTCCACTAACCCGTGCGAGCGGACCCTGATTCTTTCTTTGCAGTTTGGAAATTTCCTAATCTGCGGGAGGCATCCAATCCAGCTTTGCACTGGCAGGTTTAATCATGGGCTACCACTATGTGACCAAGGTCTGCTACCGCTGTGGTTGCAGTTGCACTCTCGCTTCGCATCCAGCGGCACTTACCACCAAATCTTCGGGTCAATCGTGATTTCAAAAAACCAAGGGAAAGGGATAGTCGAAAAGCAGGTTTAGACGGCCCGTTGACCAAATGTTTTGATCATCGCCAACACATGGCCATATATCAGCTGAGATATCGCTGTTCATGTTGATCATTCGGCGACGACATTGGCGTTGGTCGCCGCAGGCCGTTCGCGTAAACCTGCGTGTGTTTGCGAACAAAGGAAGATGGCCCAACTAAAGATCATCCTTCTATTCTGAATGGGTGATGGGGGATGTGAGATTCGCCAAGCGCAAGGTGCCCCGCAGTGCTGTGAAGGATCTTCATGGTGGATTGCTGCTTGGGGTGAAGTGTGCCGGGTGGGTGATCTTGGCCCGGAAGGGGTTTGGACGTGATGCTTTCGAGGGGAACCGTGATTGATGTGTTGTATGTTGCGCATGGGCGGTTGTTTTTGCGGGAATATGCATGTGTTGCGCATATTGTTTGTGTTGTTGAGATTAGGGCCTTGCCGTACAACAAATGTGCTGGTAACATCCTTCTCTTTGTTGTCCTAAACCCACATCTACCCAACGCAAGCTGCACTAGAGATGAAAGTTGGACTGCGTTTAGTTTGCCAGCACATGCTATTTTTGCACAGCCCGCTCAAGATCGCACAGGAATGCCACAGAAAAACAGGGTCTTTCTTATCGCCGTGTTATTTCGTTTTGGGACCGGCTTCCCTGCGTCTTTTGATACGAAAGCCGTTGGTTGGTGTGGTGTGGTAGACTTGTGCCCCGTGCACCTTCCTTCACGGATCTAAGATGCCGAGTAAATGCCATGTGTGTGGGTCAAGAGTTATGCAGGGATTCGGCATCGGTTGTTTGTGAGCTCCCGGGCATCGATGCTGTTGTCAGTAGATATGTGGTGCGCAAAGGTCGTGGCACCCTGATGACGCGTGATGATGAGAGTGATGCAGAGAGAGACGCGTGTATATGCTGGGAGAGCCAGGGAAACCTCGAGATGGAGGAAGTGGTGCGATTGCAGCCTCTTACTCGTGGACCGCCGAGATGATTGCAGATCACGTGCGTGCGCTCATGAAGATCAGGGAAATCATTTTGAAGATACTAATCGCTTGTTCGTCTATCTTGAGTCGACATTGCAGTAGTTGCATTCGAGCCAATCGCTCGTACTCCAGGGTAGATTAGAGCCGCGCCTGCTACTCGTCATTTGTCGCAAGTCGCTCTATCGTCCAATAACTTGGGCTCGGTTACTATACAATGAGTTAGAGCATGATTGGTGCAGTAGTGCGTGCATGTCCAGGTAATGATGAGTAACCGGTGGTATTTTTCAAACTCCACAAGACGGCACACGATAGGTATTTCGAATCGACACTGCCTCCACTTCACGAGGCGCGAAAGCCATTAGCGTACGCTGCCCAAGTCGACTCGCTGAACTCTGTCAGTTATTAGCATGCCGACGTTGACGCACGTGGCCGTACGTTTGCCGCTCTTTCACCGCTTACTCTCCCATTGCGCCTCTCACGCCATAATCTTGGGAAATTTGGTTCGAACCGTAGCTAGTGTGACATGACGACACACGAATCGAAGGCCCAGGAATCGGGTCGTCGTCGGACCCTCGTCTGGAAAATGTCGATTCGATTGTAGCAGAGAGTCAGGTCCACTTCTTACTCCACAGCCAGCGCGATTTGTAAGTCGAACGTAATTCAGGAACGTCCAGGAACGATGGGGATGTGTTTCAGGAACGCCAATCATTTCGCATCTGGAAGGCGCTGGGGATCGAAAAGTCAAGATGACGATTGAAAGAAACTACGTCAGCGGCGGTCGCGCTGGGATCTGGGATGCGTGAACATGATTAGGCCTCATGCAGTTAGACTCCCTCCGCTCTCCGCTGCTCCTTTGGGTGAAGGATACCTCAAGATGCAAGAGCATGTAAACATCAACAATCTTACCATCGCGATGGTCCGGACATACACTTCGATGATGCGGCGCTCCACACAATCTCGAAATCATCCTGACGATGCATCGGGAGTCTCCCTTGAGCCGCCTCACAGCTGAACTTTCTCCACATCATAACGACCACGGAAATGCAGTGCGCACATCAACAAGTATCTTCCACAACCCCACTTGAGAGCCGCATCATCTGCGACCCCGCAATGCCGTGTGGGCTTTTGCGGAGGGTGTGGTCAGATCTTCTCACCGACTTCTCGTCTTACCAACCCGTCGGCTCACAGTGCGTAGTCAACTTATGCAACGATGGATCCAGAAGGTTAAGTTCATGTTGCATCGTCATCCTCACCTGTACCTATGCGTCATTGTTGACATCAAGAGGCGGACAAGTACAATCACGGAACACCGTTGTTTTCTTAGGTTGGCGCGGGCCACTTCACCGCTGGCTTCTCATCAATGGTGCAAGGATTGGATGAAAAAGATATACGGAGCCTGCTCAAGACTCCATCCTAGATGTGGTCAAGTACTACTGTACATGCACGGAAACCTTTCTCGTCTAGGCATGGCATGGCGGGGAAACCTGCAATATGCAACTGCGCCAGGTCTCCCATCAATAGCATGAACTCACGCAGGAGACTGTTCCGTCATGGATTATGAAAAGACAGGCGTCGAGGACGTCAGCGTGGGATGTTGACCCAAGAATTGGGAGCAACCGACAAGGTACCTCATCCACCAGGTGGAGGTTGTCAAAGTAACCTGACCAGCACTAACAGCCTTGCTTACAACTACAGTTAAGAAACCCAACCACAGCCCAACACAAATCAATCAGCAATCTTCGATCGCAGTATTCCTACAGTCACATGTACCGCTCCTCCACGATCGCGATCGCCAGCACAGATCAGCCGCGTCGGGCCTTTATTATCGGACCGTATAGGGACCCGCCATGCACGAACGGGACATGGATATCTTTGCGGCAACCACGCGTGGGATCAAGCGTCTCAAATTTCTACGCGACTCGGGATTAGTTTCCTTTGGGTGATCAGGCCGTCGGGCATGCCCGCTTTCCTTGCTGCAACGGTTGCGTGGGGTCCTCGAGGATAGCAGGATACAGGCCCATGGCGACGCGCGTTGGTTTGCGGCAAGCTCGCTTGTTGGCTGGGTAATCGTTGCTCGATGGTGAGGTGAGGTCTCCATATTGATGGATACTTATGGAGACGACATGTGTGGATGGTTTGAACAATGGTGAGGCTTCAAGAGTAGACGAGCGAGCCGCGTATGGGTACTGCTGCGGTGGCGAAGGACTTCGATGAGCATCTGGTCGGGTGAGGCGGTTGTGACAATAAATAATTGGAGTGTTCTGCATTCAAGTCGATTTGGTGTGTCGGCCATTGCGAACAGATGGCAGCAACGTATGTGCTTCACAGAACTCTGCTCAGCGAGTGCGTCAGTGGCCTCAGCTGGCGACGAGCACTATGAGTTTGTCTGCTCAATATTTCCGCTCGGTATGAGTGCGCATCGTACAGCCAGCGCGGCATCGTCAACGCATCAATTCTTGTACGCTGGCAGACCGCTGTATCAATTCCTCTTCAACAGAGTAACCTCGTCATTCAAGGAGCATTCTCATCGTAGCCATGCATATATAAGTTTGCGTAAAGACTCGAGTACATACTCTCTTTCTATTTCCAAAGCAATCTTCTCTAAACCGCGTTCTCATAGCTACTCCTGACAACCCCAATAACATAAAAACCAACCATGGCTCGAAAGAGCTCTCGCAGATCCCGCCGCACAGAAGACCACCCCGACCCCTTCGCAGGCTACGACCCGAACGACCCCCGCGACTATGTAATGAGTCACACAACACACGACGATGGAACCCACGACTACTCTTCTGGCCACATCGACACACCAAACCATGGTCGTCGCGGCGGACGGCAGCCGACCTACGACGAAGCCGGTCAAATGGGTTATGCTCACGCGGCTTATGAGAACCATATGGGCGGAAGGGCGGCTGGGTGAGTGCACTCGATTCTTCTTTCGCATTGTTTCTCGCCATGCTGACTTGTACGTTTTACTAGGTACGGCCGCGGCTACGTCCAAGGTGGACAATACGGCTTCAGGAAAGGGAACTATGATGAAATGTACGATGGATATCAAGAGGGTGCCGATTATGGATACGACAACATGTATCAGCAAGGTGCTTTTCACGATGATTTGTATAATTGGTATGGGGGCTATGATGACTTCACTGGTGGTGGCATGGGTGGGTATGGTGGGTATGACGACTTCCACGGCGGATATGGGGGGTATGAAGGGTATGGCTACGGGGGATATGATGACTATGGTGGAGGGTATGACGGGTACAACGATTATGGAGCGTATGGTGGTTATGGTGGTTATGGTGGTCATGGTGGAAATGGCGGATACGGCTATTACTGAGATCTCATATGAATAGTCAAGTATTGCGTTTGGACTGTCAAAGACAGCCCACGAAATTCTTGCTCGATATCCATAGCTTCATTTGATAAGCAGGGTAATCTGAATTGATGTCAATCATCGATCTCCAACATTAGTCATCATTTAGCTCAGGTACTGAGGTGTAGTAAAGCAATGTTTTCTATTCTCTAGCAACGATTGTAGTATGGTTTTCTCCCTTTTTCTACATGCAAGCATCGTGATAAGCCCCTGAGGGCAATAAGGAGTGTGAAGAATCGAATGCTACTTCTCCGATATAGTCCACAAAGACCTCTGCACTGCGACCGGAATCCTCATCCTGCTTTGCATCTTCTGTACACCTCTGCCGGGCCGACGTTGAAGTACGATGTTTTGCTGGCACAGATATCGGCTTAAGGCCGAGTGTTGGCGCAGACGTATGCAACATAGCACCTGCAGGTAAGACGGCAAGCCAGGTTGCAGGGCGAATCTGATCCAATATCGATATCTGTGCTAACGCACTGGCGATCGCCTTCTTTGGTCCTGCCGACGGAGCGCACTGTGGGTCGGGCGACCCCTTGTGAAGCATCTTGCCCCGTTGGGTGGAAGAGAGGCTCGCAGCCAAAACGTGGTACGTACCCAGTAGGAATAACTCCTACGGTATCATAAGACAAGAGATCAGTCGTATCCGTTGTTGCCAGTGCCTATCTGACTGGCAAAAGCCGTAGAAACGCTACGAGCATCGTCGTCCTCAAAGCCACCAAGTCCACTACGTAGACCGCGACCAGCACCGAAGCCAGTGCCAACGTTGGGACCCTGGCGGGTAGTCTCTACGTAGCGGTTGAGACGGTCAGACTGACTGAGGGAGGTCGGCTTGTTGTAGTCGTTCAAGCTCAGGCCAGACAGGCTGATACCGCCCGGTGCATCGCTGCGAGTATCGGTAAGCTCGCTAGCGGCGACCGACTCACCAGCAACGCTTGCAGGCGCGCCGTTCTTGCCCTTACCGTTGGGGCGACCAGGAAGAGGCCATGACTCCTGGAAGTTGGAGAACATGGGAGGGTAGTTGGAGGGGACACCGACACCACCAAGAGCAGAAGAGTGGACCGAAGAGACGTCATCTGGGATGTAGCCGACAATTGAGCCGTTGTCGTTGTACTCCTGGCGGGGCTTGTTGCCGTTGAAGCCAGCCTGTCGACCGGAAGTCATAGCATTGGCGTGCTGGTAGGCCATCTGGTAGCGCTGGGGACCACGGTAAGTCTGCTTCGGGCGGCTGAACTGCAGAAGCGAAACCTGCAAGTTGGTCAAAGGACCCTCAACAAGGCAGTTGCGCTCCTTAAAGTGCAGAAGAAGGTAGTGCCATAGCGGATGCTTCGACAGGACCTTGGGGTTACCCAGAATGACGAGACCGTACTTGGCTCGGGTCAAGGCGACGTTGAGACGACGAGGATCGCTCAAGAAACCAATACCCTGGTGGTCGTTGGAACGGACACAAGATAAGATGATGAAGTCCTTCTCACGACCCTGGAAAGCGTCGACGGAGGCAACTTCGACTTCCTTGTAGTTTTCCTTCTTAAAGCTGCCGGTTGCCTGCATGGAGCTGACAACATAACTACGTTGACCTTCGTATGGAGTGATGATACCGATATCGCCAGGTTGTACACCCGCCTTGAAGAAGCGGGTGACAATCTTTTCGACGTTCTGAGCCTCGGTACGGTTGAGGTAGGATGTTCCAGAGGCTGAGATTTCTTCGGCACCGAGGTTGGACCAGAACATCATGGGGCTGTCGACAACGGGCCAGGGAAAGTCGACATCGCGACGGATGCGCTCCTGCATGGTGACACCGTTCTGAAGAGAACCCTCGTAGAACATGTTCGAAGGGAACTCGGACAGACAAGGATGCATACGGTACTGAACCTGAAGGCGAATAGGAGAGCATCCCAGAATGACGAGACGCTCGAAGAGAGACTGGTTGAGACCAGCTGTTGCGGCCTTCTTGTTCATGATGACAGGTCCAAGTTGCTGGTGATCACCAACAAGCACGACCTGCTTACATCCTAGTACCAAGGGAATCATGCACTCTGGCTCGGCTGACTGTGTCGACTCGTCGATGAGGACGGTGCGGAACTTCATCTTGGAGAGACGAGGATCACCAGCACCGACGCAAGTGCAGCAGATGACATCGGCTGCGTTCAGAATCTCGCGCTCCGCTGCTCGGGTAAGCTGCTTGAACTTCTTCTCATCTTGGCTTGACAGTTCACCGACATCGCTCTTCAACTGGTTCAACTTGTTGAGCTCGACGTTGGTGTCGTTCATGCGGACTTGCTCGTGGAGGGAGAGGAAGCCGACAGGAGATTCGACATCCTCCCTAGACTTAGCGGTGACACGGACAGTCTTCAGCCCAGTAAGATGAATACGTTCGCACAGCTGGTCAACAGCGACGTTGGAAGGTGCGCAAACCAGGACCTGGCTACCGCTGATTTTGCAGAGATGGTAGATGATGGTGGCTGAGGTGACAGTCTTTCCAGTACCAGGAGGACCTTGGATCAAGCTGAGTGGCTTTTGAAGAACACTCTTGACAGCGTTGATTTGACTGGCGTTCAATTCAGGAAGACCTGGAACGCTGAACTTGCGAGGAATCTGGATCTTCATGGGCGCAGAAGCAACCTCGTGGCCGAGAAGACGATGGAAGATGTAGCCTGAAACACTCATCTCGTCGATGGCAAAGGTCTTCATGGCATGTTGCATGCGGTCAAATGAAGTGGCCTTCCAGACGTAGTCGGCGCTGAAGTTGTGGGTGCACTCGGTAGGGACGGACTTGTGGTCGCCCTTGGTGCGCAGCTCAATCGTCACCTCATCGGACTGGTTGTTTGGGATCTTGATGACATATCCAACGCCTTCCCAGTGTGGACGGAGTTCTCCTGTATAGCGCAAGCGCATCTCGTCGCCGACTGCGAGCTTGACGTCGCCCAGCTCGAGCTTGGGGAGGATGAAGCTGGCCGTGTGCTTGTTGTTCAGGGCCATGTCCCAGCGAACGACAAGGTTGTCCTGCGACTGCGACTCCTTCAGCTTGCGATCATAGTCGGCCTCGATCTTGACTAGGGGACCAAAGACGTTCTGGTATTGGAAGGCGTCATCGTAGCGTAGCAGGACCTTGGCAATAACCTCCTCTTGACCAGCACCCTTCTCAAGGTCGGCAATTGTAGCATTCGCGTTGTCCTTCCATAGCTCTTCGAGTTTCGCGATCGTCTGGGGGCTGAGGTGGCGGGCGCGGAGTTGCTCCTGATCGCTCGGGGCAGGTACGAGCCAAGGGAGGAAGGAGCGGTCCTCGATGAGCGGCTGCCAACGCGACACGTCCCAGTTCATGTCCTTTTGCGAAGGCATGGAGGCGCATGGCTGGCGACATAGGAGGACGACGACGGTGTCTGATTTGGCGGGGATGAAACCGAGGAGGAAGACGTTCTTGGTACCGCAGTTGTAGCATTCGAGCGTCGTGTCGCCGAGCGAGGAGGCGGGGTGGAGCTGGACTTCCTTGTGACGGGCGCGGACAAGATGGTTGATGATATGCGAGGAGGACGAGTTGCCACGGGCGCTGCAGAACCACTTGCTGCAGGCGAGACACTTAACAACGCTGCCAGCGTTGTGAATACCACAGTATGCGCCTAGTCGGGACATTAGTATGCCTCGCATTCCCTCCCAAACCATCATTACCTACAAGCGTGTGCTGGTAGCTCCACCTCGGCGTCTTCCGCTCGCATAGCAGACTGGCCGTTGCGTCCGCCGACTGGCATGCTGGCCATGCTCTCCAGGTCGTCTTCATCGTACTCTTCGTCGTCATCTGCGCGTCGCCTACGCGAAAGACCACCGCGTGCAAGATCGCCGTCGAGAATGCCCTCGTCTACGTCACCGGCGTTGATGGTGGCAGCCGAGTCGGACACCAGGTGGTTGCCCATGTGCGTAAAGGCACCCTCCATGATGAAGGTTCGCGTCCAAGGCTCCTGCTTTATTCGAAATTTGTGGGGTCGGGATCAGAGGGTCGGGGGCAGTTGCGGCCGGAGGTGTTGTGGGTAGAGTATGAACAGGTCGACTGCTCACACCATTTCCAGCGGGAGGTTGTGTGGTAGCGCTTGGCGTGTTTGCGCGCGCAAGTGGTGGTGGCGGCGAAAGATTGTGTCTCAAGGTTGCAGCAATTCAGCGGGGTCGGAATGTCGGAGCACAAGGCTTAGCGCGTTTCTTACCTGAGGCATCGCTCTTTCCTTCACAAGACCCTCACTCCGCCATCAAACACCATAGCTCCGGTCGAGTCTCTTTTCTTTCTCCTTTGTCCGCCCAATACCGCCATTCTATATACCTCGTCAGTTCAGGACCCGCCTCTGTGGCAGTGGCGCTCTGCTAGGTTTCACAACGGCTTTTGATCGTCAGTGAAATGACCTGCAGCAGAGCCGCATTAATGGACCCTTTATTCTAGTGCTAACGTCTTTTGTACGGTTGTGTCGAAACCATACGCCCCTCATGCACGCCATCTTTGGACTTCTTACTTGCGAGGTTCGATACAGTGCGAGCTGAGGAGTCCGTGATTGCTGCTCGACCATGTCTGTAGTAATGGTTCACGGCTTTGACCGGTTTCTCATGCTGCAGAAGACATCACTCACATTTATCGCATTCATTCGCTTGTATGACGTCAAATGTGGCAGTAAGTTACGAGATTCTATCATGGCCTTCCCCCATCCGCCAACTCAGAGGTCTTACCAGTCACCCCAAGTGTGGCTTTCACAATGGCCGAGTAAGGGTGCTCGGCTCACGTTACCCGAATACTCTATACAACTCGAAAAGACAGGTCTTCACGGCTTGCAGAATAATTCACAAGAGCGATTGAACACCATCGACGACGTTAGCCAACTCCGACAAAGCCCGAGGTGCGACTACAGTTCGTGTCGCATTCTACAAAAAATCGAAGTAGAAGTACAACTAATCTTGCATACTCCCTACTTGCTAAGATATCATAGTGT